TGTACCTGTAGTATATAAGCTGCCAAAGCAACGTTGATAAATTCCTACTGCAAAAATTAATTATGAAAATTCAAATAATTTTTGGCAGTACTGCTTTCACTGGTATGGCTTACAATGTTAATTGATGAAAATTAATGGCTAAAATTACTTTTAAATATTTTGACTAACTCACCGATGTAAATTGCATTCCTATACAAAGGAAGTTGGTGGACTCAAAATTTTAAATATTTTCTATTAAATCACTGACATGTATTACATTATTCAACGGATGGAAATTGACAGTAAAAATATTTTAAAATTTTCCATTGAAATCATCGACATGTACTTTATTGTTGGCTGGTTTTTTTTTTTTTTATCAGCCAAAGAAAAATTAATTTAATGAAGCACAAGGGGTGCTCCTGCCCATATACAAAAATTGGAGACCAGAACAGAGGAGAGCCACTCTCCTAATAACCAGAAAAAGACAGCTTAACAACCACCACCGAAACAAAAAAAGCATCAGGTGGCCAAAACAAAACATTTAAAGACAAATCTGCTCCGCCTATCCATCAACTAGAAGACGCTACCGCTTTATAGAACTGCTTCCTCCTCCTTTTATGGTTTTTGATAGACATAGCGCACTCCATTGGACAGGATTGCCATTCATAAAAGGAAAAAACACAGTCATTGACTTTGGATTTAATCCATAAAAAGGTTTTAACTTGCATCCTTTCCAGCAGGTTTTCTGGTATTCCTTCATCTTTTCTAAACACTTGAACATTCCTTCTATACCATAAATACCAAGCGACCACTAGAAAAATACATGAGCCCATCTCCTTCCCAACTATTCTGCCCAAACCTCCAATGAAAAATTCTGCCAATCCCACAACTGTATTAGGCAGAACAGACTCTAAGCCCCACCAACTCAACACCTGAGTCTAAGCTAACCATGCATTATCACATACACAAAATAAATGATTAACTTCCTCCACCTTCCCATTACAGTATTCGCAAAAAACCCCCTCCTGCAACAATATCCCTCGTTTTTGCAAGTTATTCTTTGTTGGGAGTCTCTATCTAAACACAGTCGCCACCCAAAAAAAGCCACTTTGGATGGCACCAACCTGCACCCTATTAGTTTGCACATCTGGTCCTCCAAAACCCTCTCTGTAGAAGCTAAAAAAACATACGCTAGCTTCACCACATATTTGCCATCCATCACATGGACCCACTTCCAAACATCCCCAACCCCCTCCTTTAGTTTGACACCCTCTAGCACCTTCTCCAACAATTCCTCCTCATCTTTCTCTCGCCCTATTGTACCCCTCCTCCACTCCACCCGCCAACGCCATCTACCCTCCTCCCAAGTCCCCATTTCAGAAACCTTGCCCTCCTTCTTTACAGATAATGCAAATAACCTTGGAAAAAGATCCCTAAGACTTTTATCTTCAACCCACCTATTAGACCAAAACTCCACTCTATTTCCTTCTCCCACCTCCCACTTGAAACCCTCAACTAACATGTTCCTAAGTTTGAGAGACAGACCCCCTATCCTTATAATGTCCCTCCAAAGCTTTGACACCCTTAAACACTCAATTGTAGTAATATCGACCTCCTCCCTACCTCCATAATATTTCTCCCTCACCACCCTTTTCCATAAACTCTCAACCCCGTCACCTAACCTATACCACCACTTTCCTATCAATGCCCAATTTTTCCTCTGTAAATCTGGCACCCCAAGACCCCCTATGGCTTTAGCTCAACATACATCTTCCCATTTAACCCATGAAATTTTCTTATTTGACCCTATCCCGCCCCATAAAAAATTCCTTTGAATTCTAATAAACTCCTCAAGCACAGAATTTGGTAATAAATATAAAGACATATAAAAAATAGGTAGTGCAGAGAGTACCGATTTTAGCAAGATGAGGCGGCCTC